TAAACGAGTGTATGCTATTGACTATATGTGTTTCTTTGATATATGTAAGACGAACCAGTGCTAATATGTTATATATAAAAATCTATCTATGGTGAATTTGTATTTGGCTTAAGACATCCATATTGAGTTCTCATCGTGTAATTAAAGTTATTGTTATCTTTAAGATATAATGAAGCAGTGTATACTTTTGACTCTATGTGTTTCTTTAATATGAGATAAGCCACTTCCAATATGTTATATGTTATCTATCTATACTGAATTTGTATTTAGTTTAAGACGTCCATATATTACAAGAGTACTCATCGTGCAATTAAATGTATTTCATTTTGAATGATTTATCATACTTAGTTTAAATATGTTTTATTAATAAGTTTGTCTTTATTCGTATATGTTTAATATGTATTTATGCATAAATGCAATCTGAAAGTCTATCCTTTCCTTTTCTCAGCATAAATTTGTCAGCTACTTGAACGTTTTGTCACGAAATGTTTTAAGTCCGAAGTTGTAGCATTTTAAGTTCGTTAGCTTAAAAACCACAGAAAAAAAGTTAATAAAATTAAAATTCAAACATTCAAACATTCAAACATTCACATACGACTAGCAAAAGGCCCATTAAGAAATACAAACTCTCACATTAGAAGAAACTATACAAATCGTGGTGGCATTGCCTCTGGAAGTAAGCCCGAGACAACGACAAATTCAACAGCTAACAAAAAAGTTTAACAACTAATGGGAAAGAAGAAAAAGAAGAAGGAATGGTAAAAGGAAAAGGGGGTAAGGGGAAGAAGAGGAAAAGAGCATTTTAAACAATCATAGTAAAAATCACGAAATCAAAATCCTTTTTAACGTAGGACACACTAAGCATATTTACCTTTTAAACTGCCTAGTCAACTGCGGCAATGGGTCTTGGCAGGGCTAACTCAAGTTAGCTTAACTAAATGCAGACAAGAAAGGTAAACAAACGTTAAACGTTAAACTGGAAACTGAAAACTGAAAACTGAACACACAAAAGTGCAGTAAAATTTCAAAAAGGAAATCGTTGCATTTAAAATTCAAACTCGATAAAATAAAAACAGCCAAGTCGGCATAAAAATGCTTGCAAAAAATTAAACAAACGTTAAACGTTCAAAAGTCGATATGTACTCCCATATAACAATGTAGATTTTTTAACATATTTTTTTGCTTGCCTTAAGTTTTTACTCTTGTTGTGTTTTTTTGAGATTTTTTTTTCTATATATATCTTTTTTATATCATTTGGAATACAAATGTTAGTCTTGCATAACAAGCAAACGTTTTATAAATGAGGCTAACTAAGCGCGCAAATGTTTGAATTTCTGGTATTTTTTTTGCTGGGACCTACGTACGTATGAGTGCTACTTGCACTCGCACCGGCACCGGCACTGGCACTGGTACTGGTACTGGCACTCGTTCTCGTACTATTTCACTTACCTTAGTCTACTACATACTACATACCACATACCACATACAATAGTATACCATCTATAGCATATTGTATGTAGATAGCTTTTAAGGTTAATGCGAACGTACGGCAGCAGCAGCGCCTCTACTCCATCTTTTTGTTTGCATAATCAGTTTGCAAAATATAACGGTTAAATGGTATCAATTCAGTGTTGAGTGCTCGTATATTTCATTGGTCTTTGGTCTGAGACTTAACGAACGAACTCTCGCTAACACTGAATGACTGAAGTGACTGAAGTGACTGAAATGGCTGAAATGACTGACTGACTAAGCCCATACAAATGTACAAATGTACAAATGTTGTTGTTGGACCGACCCCTCCTGCTGAGTGAATGCAAATGCAAATATTTGCAAATGCTAAAATGTTTTTGTTACAGTTTTTCACCATTTCTAAGATTTTGTTATTGTTTTATTTCATTTAAGACGTTTTAAATTTGCCGTTTGTTGCATAAAAGCATAAAAACATTTCTATGACTGATTAAATCGGTATTGGTTAAACGTCACCGCCGTGGCAAAAGCGACAGGAAGTTTCCATTGCAGCAAAAAGTCAAAAACAACAACAACAACAACAACAACAGCAGAGAAAAATGGTAAAACAGCTGCCATGTCTGTCAGACATTTGTTTGCCATTTGCCCAATCTTATCGCCTCTTATTAAAATAAAAATCTTAACATTTTCTTTTTTTTTGTTTATTTAACAAAATTTGTATGCAGTCATATGCACATTTTTTTGTTAATTAAATTAATTAAGAATAAAATAAACAAGCACCATGTCGAGGGAACATGGACGGTTCCGTTAAACGGTTGCGGTTTATTAAAAATTTAAACATTTTAAATAAAGTCAGATATCAATCAATTATAAACAGTCGTAGAATACTATATATTAAGTTAGGTATCAATAAACTTAATACACTCTAAGTACACTAGGGACAAAGTTAGATATCAATAAACTATACACACTCGAAGGATGGTATTGATGATAACAACTACTTATTAATCAGCCTACAGTTCATTCAATTATATAAAAGTGTTCTACTTCAATTTTTTTAGTCAGTACATCGATGCATATTTGGGCGAGTTCAAGACGCTTATCTGAGCCAGGCAGTTATAAAAGATAGGGTGATTACAAGCTAGACCAAGACCAAGAGGTTTAACGTATAGGAAAGACAGATTTTGATGGAAAAGCTAGATCTAGGAATAAAACACTAAAATGACTGAGACACATAATGTCTGTCGAAATAGAGCAGCAGGAGATAC